CTCCGCCTCCTGGGTTCAGGCAATTCTCCTGCCTCAGCCTCCTGAGTCGCTGGGATTACAGGCACGCACCACGATGCCCAGCTAATATTTTGTATTTTTGGTAGAGACGGGGTTTCACCATGTTGACCAGGATGGTCTCGATCTCTTGACCTCGTGATCCACCCGCCTCGGCCTCCCAAAGTGCTGGGATTACAGGCTTGAGCCACCGCGCCCGGCCATCTTACCTTTTAAAAAAAAATACGGCTTTAGTTGATGTTGCTTGCCATTGCTTTTCTGGTTAAGTTTATACTGATTTGCCCTGTGGAAATATATGAAGATATGTGGACTTTATAATTTAGGCTTGAACATACTAGTTAAAATGTTGAAGGGAGGATGTTTATATCCTCCCTTGCTTTTACAAAGTGTATCTCAGTTTATAGCATATAAATGATATTTTATTTCTGTAGGCATCAATTTTCCTTTCTCTCTAGTTCTGTGATAGCCATTTATTCTTTCACTGTATCAAGCTGCTGTTAGAGACTGTGGTGTAAAGTGAAGGATACTCTGAAATGAAAACCCATTTTTTTGCTTTTATTTCAGATGTGGTAGTGTTAAAGATGGCTCCTTGGTGGCCTGTGCATTTTCTCCTAATGGAAGCTTCTTTGTCACTGGCTCCTCATGCGGTGATTTAACAGTGTGGGATGATAAAATGAGGTGTCTGCATAGTGAAAAAGCACATGATTTTGGAATTACCTGCTGCAATTTTTCTTCACAGCCAGTTTCTGGTTGGTTATTTTATTCTTTTAAGCACTAGAAATTCCTGTTTGTAATTTGTGCTATATATGACTTTTCATTCTTGTATTTTTATGTTGTCATTAGTAAAGTGAGGAGCCCTCTTTATTTATTCCTGTAAAGGGATTATCCTTATCTCTCTTTTGACCAAAATGAAATTATAAAAAAAAATGAGAAAAATCACTTTTTAAAAAATTTTTATTTTGGGGTCTCTGAGTTTCCTGCAAGAAAATTACATTCTTTATTATATGCAGGGGGAATCTGTTGTGATTATGTGTGACTGAACTTGGAACAACAGATTCAGATTCCTTGGATATGGCAATTTAGAGGACCTAACCCTATTGGTATAATTGCAATAAAAAAAAAACTATATTGATATTCAAATTGAAATGTAAACTTTAAAAATTGGAAATAGAAGCTATGTTTTCCATTTACTAATTTAATCTTCCAAAAGCTAAATTTATAAAATAAGATGTTTGCCAACACAATTAATTTTTTAGAAGGAAACAAAACTGAATATAGTCTGTTGGTTTTAAATAGGTACAGTGAATTGAAAAGTTCTTTCTTTAAAATTTCATTTTCCGTATTAGGATGGGAGTTCTGTGGCTTTTGTCTGCTGCATTCTTGTTGCCAAACCCATTTTATCCATAGCAACATAATGCAAGCCACTTAGGAAAATTTAAAATGTTCTAGTAGTAGATGAAACTAATTTTAATAATATATCCCAACATATCTATAATGTAACTTCAATAATTGATAATAAAAATTAATAAGATATTTTGTCTTTTGTACTAAGTCTTTGAAACCTGGTGTGTATATTGTAGATAGCACATTTCAATTTGGACTAGCTGCATTTCAAATCTTTGGTCCACACGTGGCTAGTCAGTGCCTCATTGATCAAAACAGGTCCAGAGAGTAGACAGGATGGTTTTGGTATTCCCCCCTTTTCAGGCCCATCAATGGCTTAAGGTATGGTTAAGATAAGATCCCAAATCCCAAAAGCAAAACATGTTCTGCTTCCTCCTAATCTCATATTGCTCTTGGTCTCATGCATTTTTTTTTTGCCACACTGACCTTCTTTCATTCCTGGAATGTTTCTAAGATATTTCCAATTGTTGTATGTGCAGACCCTTTACTTGGTTTGCTGTTATATCCTTTAGAATTTGGCTGAAAAAATCACTAAAGATGAGCCTCTCCTGCTGTTAACCCCTGCACTCAGTCTGTATAATTTTGATAAAATTTTTTATTTGCATACTTTATTTTTCTTTTACAGTACTAAGTATCAGAATGTTTAATTATATATTTATATGGGTAATATTTAATGGTGTTTTTTGTATTAGCTTGTAAGCTCCAGGCAGGCAGAGCCTGGGTCTCTTTTCTTCACCGTGCCTGATACAAAGTAGGCATTGAAGTGTAGATCGATGAGTAAGATTCCTTTTAATGATTTGCTGAAATAATAGATTTTCTTTTCATAAGCCCATTCTTGTGTTGAACTCCCTTCCTAATTTAATTAAGACAATTATTCTTTTAATATATTGTTCTGTGCTATTTTATTCAAAAAACAGCTTGTAACAAGCCATTGCTTCCATTTCTGTGGTACCTTCTCCACATCTTTTTTTTTTTTTTCCCCATTTATTTATTTTATTGCATTTTAGGTTTTGGAGTACATGTGAAGAACATGCAAAATTGTTGCATAAGAACACACGTGGCAGTGTGATTTGCTGCCTTCCTCCCCATCACCTACATCTGGCATTTCTCCGCTTGCTATCTCTCCCCAGCTTCCCACCCCCCACCGTCCCTCCCCTATTTCCCCCCAACTGACCCCAGTGTGTAGTGCTCCCCTCCCTGTGTCCATGTGTTCTCATTGTTCAACACCTGCCTATGAGTGAGAAGATGCGGTGTTTGATCTGCTCTTCTGTCAGTTTGCTGAGAATGATGGTTTCCAGGTTCATCTGGTGAATTATATAAGTGTGAAGAGATCCAGGTTCCTTTTTTGGTTCTAAATGTTCTGAAGATAGATTCCCAATGAAAATACTGTTATACTAGTTAATATTATAATAAAAATAAGGGCTTTTTTGTCCTGCATTTACAAAGATTGGTTGCTTGTGGGGTCAGGAAAGGCTCACTAAAACAGGCAGAGAATTCTAGGTGAGATTCTGAAATGATACCCACATTCTCACCCTGCCTTTAGAACATATTATACACTTCTCTTGGTATAATTTTAATCTGTGTGCCTTCTTTAGTTCCTTTAGTGTTTCTGTTGAAATATATATTAACCTTATGAGTAAATTCCCTGAAACAAGATATATGCTTTAAGGTGATTATTGTAAGAATTTGTGGGAACAACTGTATTTATTTAGAAGATAAAATATATGATTTAAATTTGTTTAATTTGGCATCTGTTAATATCTTTAAATACTTATGACATATTGACTCATCGTGTGACATTTTGCTGAAATAGGGAAAAATAATCCTGTTGGCAGGATTATATTTATTTTTCATGAATAAAAGTATGTTTCTAAGTATTATATTTAGATATTGAACATAGGCACATTTTAAGCTGTATAATTTGTCTTAGCTGAATTTTCGCTACTTACAGAACTTCAGAATTCAAAGGATTATTTAGTTAAGGAACAATGAAAAAAATAGGTTTGCTAATCAGGTTTAATACATAAATATTTTGCTCTCAGCCATTTCTTGAATAAAATATTTTGCCTTAAAAAGACAATGATTATCAGGAATTGCTTGTATCCCTCAGGATCTCTCTTAGAAAGGATACATTTTGGGTAAACCTATGCTGCAAAATAAACAAATGCTATTGAAATATGGAAGTCCCATGGAGTTAGAAAAGATTTCAGTGAGATGGAATTTAATTTGTTGTTTGCTAATAAAATGTTTGTACTTCTAAAGAAGCAGAGAGTCTATAGAAAAAAATTTACATGCCTTGGTGTATACATTTGTTAAATTTTATATACTGAACATTTGTTAAGCCAGAGTGCCATTTTAAGATGGATATTAGATCTCTGTTTTGGAGACAGGGTCTTGCTTTGTCATCCAGGCTGGAGTGTAGTGGTGTGATCATAGCTCACTGCAGCCTCAAACTCCTGGGCTCAAGGGGATCCCCTGCCTCCACCTCCTAAGTAGCTACAATTACAGGTGTGTGCCACCACACCTGGCTAATTGAAAAAAAAATTTTCTAGAGACAGTGTCTTCATGTTTCCCAGGCTGGCCTCAAACTCCTGGCCTTAGCCTCCCAAAATGCTGAGATTACAGACTTCAGCCACCATACCCAGCCTCGATTTCTTAATTGTGCTTTACTGTGTATGAGTGCCAAAACTTACTTGATGAAACTGCGTGTAATATTAGATGCAACTTGTGTAAAATTGCATTGATGATATCAATATTTACATTATCCAAAATTATTTACGAACTTAATCTAGTAGCTGTATAGTAATACACTAAAATTAAGTAAGTGTAAAGTAGTAGGACTTTTGCGACACCACTTAACTGATTACTTTCCCTAAATAGTATAATATTTTTAACCAAATGGAGTTTTTTTTTTTATAACTATAATTCTAGCATTTGCCTTGATTAAATAAAATGGAAAAAAATTCCCATTATTATTCCATGTGATCTATGGACCAGGCTTTTGAGAATCGACATGACCTTAAAAGAAGGTTGGGAATGATTAAACAGTTAACACTCTTATCGTAACTGACATTTCTTCCTAATTTTTCCCATCAATCCTAGCCTCATAGACTCTAAAATTGACTTAGAAGGTGCTCTGTTTAGTGGCACAATATTGGTTCTTGCAGCCTTGAATTATATTCTTTGAGTAAGGTAAATAAAAGGTATTTTATTGTAGCAACTTGTGGACTAAAGTTATAATCCTGTATAGTAGCTAGTTTAAAAGAAATTCTTTAACCAACATTTTGTTAAATGGTATAAGTTAACTAATAACTTGTGAACGTCATTTAAATGAGTAGAATTAACAGATCTCAGTATAAGAAACGGAAATTTTTTGCGGTTTAAGTGATTCACAAATTCTCTGTATTTGTTTTTAACAAATTTTAGGTGGAGAACAAGGTCTTCAGTTTTTTCGATTGGCATCATGTGGTCAGGATTGTCAAGTCAAAATTTGGGTTGTTTCTTTTACCCATATTTTCGGTATGTATGCAAAGTAGCACATCCCTGAAATTATTTGTGATCTGGTTAAAATTTCTATTTTATCTTTTTACTTAACCCTGGGTATCTAAAAGTGAGTATAACAATATGGTTTAAGAAACTGAATCAAAGTAACACACATGATTTAAAAATCAGATGTCATTGCTGTTCATGACCTCACCTATAGCACTGCCATACACATTTCTGCACAGTAATGGTGACCACTTTGCACTTGGTTTCAACCCCTTTGGTAGTTTTCACAGTTTACGTTGTTTATATCACTATTTTTTAAAAAATTTATTCACTGTAGTTACTGCTTTTTGATAGTGTGTGTGCCTTTTTCCATCCTTGTACTATTCCATCAGGTGACCCTTTCAGTCAGAAAGCTTATTTTGTGCAGTTTTGGAATAAAGTATTCTGTTATGTTATTTCTTTAATAATTCCTTCTCTGTTTTACTCTCTTTTCACAACTTACATTAATTGAGTGTTGGACCTTCTGAATTGATCCCTGCCCTGCCTCCCCACCCCCTGGCCACATTTCTCTCTCTCTTCTTGTACTTTAGGGAAGAATTTCTCTGCTTTTTCTCTTTACCTTTTTTTAAATCTTTTATCTCAATTGTATTTTCAAATTCTAAAAGCTCACCATCTTCTTTGTTTCCTTTTTGTAGTGTCCTTTATAAGATCTCAGAACTCTGAGGATGTCATTTAGGAGTTTTTTGCTTAAGTTCCCTTCTGTTTTCTGATCTGTTTGCATTTGGGCCCCCTTTTTGCTTAGTATTCTGTTTGCATTTAAGAATTAGACAATGTTTAGAAGCTCTGTGTGCAGGGATGGTTTGTTATTGCTGGCTTCCCTTTAGGATGAGGAGGTGGGTGGTTGGCCCTTCTGGGTGAGGGGTTGGGAACTTAGGGAGTGGATACTCTGTCACCCTAGAGCTTCCCAGGCAGTTAGTTGTTTTTTTTATTTGAAAAGTTTTGCCGGGGTTAAGTGCTTGGCTTTTGTGCAGCATACTAAGAGTGAAATTGGGGAGGGATTAGAAGTGGACACCGAATGGTCTATATATAGTCAGTTCATTTTTCTGTCTGTCTGTGCCATTCTAATTTTCCTTTTTTCTGGCTATTGGTATTCTGGAACCTTGAGATATTTTCTTCCTCCTCACCCCACCTCCTCTCCCTGGTCTTGCCCTGGCTAATTAAAAAATTTTTTTATATAGAATCAAAGTTTGTTGCTCAGGATGGTCTCGAACTCCTGGCCTCAAATGATCCTCTCACCTTGGCCTCCCAAAGTGGTAGGATTACAGGTGTGAACCACTGTGCTTGGCCAGTCTTGGGGTGTTTTCTAGGGCAGAATAACTTTCTTCTTGGCTGTACCCCCGTCTCTTTGCACTGTGGGCTGTTATTCCTTTATACTTCCTCATTAATCTGTTTTCTGCCTTCCCAAAGTTGATTTCAGTTTCTGGTTTGCTGATGCCCCTCTTCCCACTCTCTTTTCCAGTGTACATTTCTATCTTTATTAATTCTGTCATTGACGCTTTCATGGGGAATCTGAAATTTTGTGGTCATCTTGATTAATTCAGGAGCCTCAAAATATTATTATTTGTTACCTAATAAGCTTCAGTTAAATTGCAAATGTCATTTTTGTGATTCATAATTATGCTAGTGTATAGACGGGAGCCTTTTATCTGGAAATAAATATATTCCTTTTTTGATGGAATGTTATTTATTGCCAATTAGATTACATTTAGTAGTTATTTTAACATCTGACATACTGTGAGGATAAGAGTTTACTTCTGTGGTTGATCCCACCTCTTCTGCTTGTTTTCTTTTACCAGAAATAAAATTCTGATAAGAAACTGTAAGTACATGCGTTTGTGTGGGAGTTCTAAAAACAACGTATCTTTAATAATTGTTCTAAAGTAAAACCTTTCACATATTTACTGGAAAATATTTTGACACTGACTTTTTAACAAAAACATACATTACAGTTGATAAATGTGTGGTTAAAATCTTTTCATAAGGCTGGGTGTAGTGGTTCACACCTGTAATCCCAGCACTTTAGGAGGCTGAGGCAGGAGGATCACTTGAGGTCAGGAGTTCAGTACCAGCCTGGCCGACATGGTGAAACCCTGTCTTAACAAAAATACAAAAATTAGCCAGGTGTGGTGAGGTACACCTGTAGTCCTAGCTACTCGGGAGGCTGAGGCAGGAGAATTGCTTGAACCCAGGAGGCAGAGGTTGCAGTGGGCCAAGATTGCACCACTGCACTCCAGCCTGGGTGACAGATCGAGACTCTGTCTCAAAAAATAATGATAAAAATAAAACCTTTTCATAAAGCATTTATCACCATTTGTACCTTATCATTTGCTTATTTGTAGAGAGGAGTAGAGAGACATATGGGTCTTATAACTTGAGGACATAACCTAGTCTTATGGTTGTATTAACGTTTTATAGTGTTAATTTGGTTTGCAACTTAATATGCTTGCTTTGTTTGATTAACGGTGGCTGCTTATTGCTCTATTCCCAGTTAGAATTAAAGCCTTTTGAAGTTCATCATTGTATTTCTAGCACTTAACACAGTGCCTTTAGTGTGTGTCTCTGCTCTCCCAGATAAAAATATATTTTATTTCCTGTTTTGAGCTTCAAACTTTTACTTACTCTGATTACCTTTTTCTTTAGTTAAATGCTTATTATTCTCACTAAGACATTTAACACTTCAAAAGTGTTTTATTGTGTCTGACGTAGTTATAAATTTCACTTGTGTATTTCCTTTTTCTTCCCACAACCCCTGCCAATTTCTTAATATTTATTTTTATAGGTTGTCACCAAAATATATTGAATTCCCTCAGTTTACTTTTAAAATAGTTGTGATATTTATGCTTAGTAATTCTAAAAGCATAAAAAGGATTTTAGTGTTATACTTTGGAGGAGTGTTATATTTTATAAAGATAATATTGGAATTACAGGATGTGTAAATTACCATTGATTATTTTTATTTACAGAGTGAGAAAATATTTTAAATGCCAGATTTTTCAAAATATAAGCATTTTTTTAAAGTCTTTTGGGCAATTGGTATATTTCGTTTTTATGAGACGCTAAAACTGTGATATAGTTTAAATGTTTAAAACTTTTCGTAATATGAAATTAGCCCATCTAGCCTTTGTTGAGCTCATTTTTTAAATCCATTACTGAGCTTTTGAAATGTGAGACTGAGTACAAACACAAGAAGCCATGTTTGCTCCTTTCTGCTTGCCGGCATAATTTCACAAAGCCCCTGACTCTGTGACAACAGAACTCTCTGGAAGAATGCCTGGAAGACAAAAGAGGCGAGCACACAGTCCCCCACGTCTTTTGCCAGTCCCCCATGTCTCTTGCCTGAGTCACTACATTCCTTAAAAGATAAATGAACCCAGCCTTGCCTTTTCTTACCTGAGATAATGTCTAATGGCGTTAGTGATCATGCTTCTGCAATCTGTAACCAGATGTATGCTTACACCCAACCTTGATGTGATTCTGCTTTAATGTAACTTCTGTTTGATGTGATTTTGCACATAGTAAACCTCCACCACCTGTATATAAGCAGTGAGCTGAAACACCGCTTTGAAATGGTCTCGCAGACTGCCCTGTAGCTCTCAGGCCATAGGCCCTAGTCTGTAGTCTTCAGTAAGACTTCTGAGTAAAACTACTTTAATTCTTTAAAAGCTTGACTTTTTTCTTTAGTCAACAGAAACCAGTTACTCTCACCGCATTCCATTTATTTCCTTATAGATATCTGAGCTGCATGAGGGTTTTTAATGTTTGTGTCCTTTAGGCACTCAAAGATTATTGAATACATAAAGGAAATGGTGTTGATTTAAAATCAATTCCAAGCATGGTCAGCTTGCTATTCTCTGTTACCTTGTTATTTGCAGGTTTTGAATTAAAATATAAAAGTATGCTGAGTGGGCACTGTGCCCCTGTTCTGGCTTGTGCTTTTTCCCATGATGGGCAGATGCTAGTCTCCGGGTAAGCTGGTTTAATTTTCCTAAGCCATTTTTATATGAAATTGAAAAGATGTACGGAAAAGTACGTGAAACCTCAAAGAATAGCTTGATGAACCACCACAAAGGTCAAGAAGCAGAACTTTGTTGGTTCTACCCCAGAAGCCCTCCCCTTCCAAGTGCCCCTTTTTGGTGACAATGTGTTAGGTCATATACTCTATTGCTTTTTTCTTTAAAACTGACCTAAAATTAAACAATATGAATTATTTTGTCTGGCTTTCTGTACCCAACGTTACACTTGTGACATTAATTCATATTATTGACTGGAGCTGTGGCCCATTGATTTTCATTGCTGTGTAATATTCCATGCATGGATACATTATAATATATATAATAGTTCATTTTAATGTTAATGGTTATATGATTGTTTGTGGTTTGAGAGCATCACAATAATAATTCTATGAGAATATGTTGTATGTCCTGGTACACATGTTCATGCATTTCTGTAAGATAAATACGTAGGAATGGCTTGGTTGAGTCATAGAATATGTGCATTTTCAACCTTGGCAGATAACAATAGTTTCCAAGTGGCTGAACAATTAATACTCCTATAGCAGTGTTGTTTTATATCCTAGCCTATACTTGGTATTGTGAGTTTTTAAAATTTTAGCCATTCTGCTGAGTGTGTAGTGTTGCCTTACTATGTTTTTAATTTGCATTTCCCCAGAACAAAGTGGTTGGAACCTTTTTAGAAGTTTATTAGACACATGTATTTCCTCTTCTATGAAGTGCCTGTTCATGTCTCTGGCCCATTTTTTTTTCCTGGGTTATATTTTTCTTATTGATTTGTTGTTGTTGTTGTATGTGTGTGTGTACACTTTAATATTTGAGCTGTTTGTTGCTTTTTGCAAATATCTTTCCCACCCTGTAGATTTGCCTTGTCACAATTGTGCTCTGAGGTCATGAAGATATTTTTCTATATTCTGAGACCTTCATTGTTTTGCCTTTCACATGATTTATGTGTATGATGTGCAATACAATCCCATTTTATTTCTTTCTATGTGAATATCCAGTTGTCCTAGCACTATGTATTGAAAAGACCACTTTTCTCCTCCATTTTATTATACTCCCTCATCAGAAATCACTGACCATTTATGTGTGAGTCTGTTCCTTAACCTGCTACTTTGTTCTGTTTCTGTCCTTGCTCTAATATCATTCTGTCTTTCCCAGGCTTTATATTTTGTCTATTCCTATCTATTGACATGCTCATATAAATTTGAGAATTAACTTGTCAAATTGCCCCAATTCCTACCTCCACACACACAAACTTGTTCCGATTTTAATTGGGATTATATGGAGTCTGATGAATTTGGGGGGAATTGACATCTTTATGATATTCATCTTGCATCTTTCTTTGTTTTAATTTCTCTCAATAATTGTCTTCTATGTAGAAATTCTCATCTTTATTAGCCTTATTTCTAGGCACTTGTTAGTATATAAAAGATGTGGCGAATATGAGGAAATCCATAATGGAAATAAAATGGACTTACCTAGAAAATTTCTTATTTTGGATTATATATATACAAAATCAGATCATTTGTAGATAATGATGGTTTTGTTCCTTTCTAATCCTTATGTCTTTGGTATCTTCTGTGCCTTACTGAACTGCTGATACTACCAGGCTAATAAAAGCGGCAATAACAGGCCTTGTTGTCTGATTCCTCATTGCAGTGGGAAAGGTTTTATTATTCAATACGATCATTGTAGGTTTTTGAGATAAGCTTTATTCTTCTAGTTTGTAAGAGTTTTGTTGTTGTTTTTAAATCATGCAAGGGTGTTGTATTTCATCGGATGATTTTTCCTACATCTTTTGAGATGATATAATTTTTCTCTGTTACTGTTAGTGGAGTGAATTACATGATTTTTAAATGTTAAACCAACCCTGCTTTGTTGAAACAAACATATTTTAGGATATATTGTTTTTGTGTGTTGTTACAGAAAAGTTAGTTTCATTCTAACTGTTGTGCCTTTGGATGTAATTCATTTTTCTCTGGCTGCTCATGAAATTTTCTGTTTTGAGGTTTTTGCACATCTACTTTGTATCTACATATGGGTTTCCTATTTAGTTTGCTTGGAATTTATTGAACTTCTTAAATCTGTGGAGTGATATTTGGCAGGGCTTGGTGATTTATGCCTGTAATCCCAGCACTTTGGGAGGCCTAGGCAGGCAGATCGCTTGAGCTCAGGAGTTTCGATCAGACTGGCCAACATTGTGAAACTTTGTCCTACTAAAAATACAAAAATTAGCTAGGCATGGTGGCAGGCACCTGTAATCCCAGCTACTCAGGAGGCTGAGGCAGGAGAATTGCTTGAGCCCAGGAGGCGGAGGTTGCAGTGAGCTGAGATCATACCACTGCACTCCAGCCTGGGTAATAGAGTAGGACTCTGTCTAAAAAAAAAAAAAATATCTGTGGTATGATATTTTACCACTTTTGGAAAATTCTTATTTATTATCTCTTCAAATAATTGCCTCTGTGCCTTTCTTTCTGTCCTTTACTTCTGGGATTCCAATTAAATGCACATTATACTTTCTCACTGTAAACTTTCTCTTTTGCATTTATTATGTGTGTGTGTGTGCACGTGCGTGCGTGTGCGCATATGTGTGTGTGTCTGTTTCATTCTGGATGGCTTTTTCTTTCCTCATTCATTCTTCAGCGAATGTGATATTAAATTGGTCCATTGAATTCTTAATTTTGCTTATTTTATGTTTTGGTCCTAGAATTTCTATTTGTCAGTTTTTTTCTATTTTGTCACTTTTTACGATTTCCAGTTTGTCACTTTTTATGATTTCCAATTGTGTGTTGAAATTTTCAACCTTGGCTTTTATTTTTCTTTTTCTTTCTTTTTTTTTTTTAATTGTTTTTATTTTTTTATTTTTTATAATTTTTTTTTATTTTGTTTTTTTTTCCCATTTATTTATTTTATTGCATTTTAGGTTTTGGGGTACATGTGAAGAACATGCAAAATTGTTGCATAGAAACACACGTGGCAGTGTGATTTGCTGCCTTCCTCCCCATCACCTACATCTGGCATTTCTCCCCTTGCTATCTCTCCCCAGCTTCCCACCCCTCACCGTCCCTCCCCTATTTCCCCCCAACTGACCCCAGTGTGTAGTGCTCCCCTCCCTGTGTCCATGTGTTCTCATTGTTCAACACCCGCCTATTAGTGAGAAGATGCGGTGTTTGATCTTCTGCTCTTCTGTCAGTTTGCTGAGAATGATGGTTTCCAGGTTCATCCATGTCCCTACAAATGACCCAAACTCATCGTTTTTGATGGCTGCATAATATTCCATGGTGTATATGTGCCACATTTTCCCTATCCAGTCTATCGTTGATGGGCATTTGGGTTGGTTCCAGGTCTTTGCTATTGTAAACAGTGCTGCAATGAACATTCGTGTGCACGTGTCCTTATAGTAGAACGATTTGTAATCCTTTGGATATATACCCAGTAATGGGATTGCTGGGTCCAATGGAATTTCTATTTCTAGGTCCTTGAGGAATCTCCACACTGTCTTCCACAATGGTTGAACTAATTTACACGCCCACCAACAGTGTAAAAGTGTTCCTATTTCTCCACATCCTCTCCAGCATCTGTTGTCTCCAGATTTTTTAATGATCGCCATTCTAACTGGCGTGAGATGGTATCTCAATGTAGTTTTGATTTGCATTTCTCTGATGACCAGTGATGATGAGCATTTTTGCATATGTTTGTTGGCCTCACGTATGTCTTATTTTGTAAAGTGTCTGTTCATATCCTTTGCCCACTTTTGAATGGGCTTGTTAGTTTTTTTCTTGTAAATCTGTTATAGTTCTTTGTAAATTTTAGATATCAGCCCTTTGTCAGATGGGTAGACTGCAAAAATTTTTTCCCAATTTGTTGGTTGCCGATTCACTCTAATGATTGTTTCTTTTGCTGTGCAGAAGCTGTGGAGTTTGATTAGGTCCCATTTGTCTATTTTGGCTTTTGTTGTCAATGCTTTTGGTGTTTTGGTCATGAAGTCCTTGCCTACACCTACGTCCTGAATGGTTTTGCCTAGATTTTCTTCTAGGGTTTTTATGGTGTTAGGTCTTATGTTTAAGTCTTTAATCCATCTGGAGTTAATTTTAGTGTAAGGTGTCAGGAAGGGGTCCAGTTTCTGCTGTCTGCACATGGCTAGCCAGCTTTCCCAACACCATTTATTGAACAGGGAATCCTTTCCCCATTGCTTGTTTTTGTCTGGTTTGTCAAAGATCAGGTGGTTGTAGATATGTTGTGTTGACTCTGAGACCTCTGTTCTGTTCCATTGGTCTATGTCTCTGTTTTGGTACCAGTACCATGCTGTTTTGATTACTGTAGCCTTGTAGTATAATTTGAAGTCTGGTAGTGTGATGCCCCCCGCTTTGTTCTTTTTGCTTAGAATTGACTTGGCTATGCGGGCTCTCTTTTGGTTCCATATTAAGTTTAAGGTGGTTTTTTCCAGTTCTGCGAAGAAGGTCATTGGTAGCTTGATGGGGATAGCATTGAATCTGTAAATTACTTTGGGCAGTATGGCCATTTTCACGATATTGATTCTTCCTAACCATGAACATGGAATGTTTCTCCATCTGTTTGTGTCCTCTCTTATTCGTTGAGCAGTGGCTTGTAGTTCTCCTTGAAGAGGTCCTTTACGTTCCTTGTTAGTTGTATTCCTAGGTATTTTATTCTCTTTGTGGCAATTGTGAATGGAAGTTTGTTCTTGATTTGGCTCTCTTTAAGTCTGTTATTGGTGTATAGGAATGCATGTGATTTTTGCACATTGATTTTGTATCCTGAGACTTTGCTGAACTTGCTTATCAGTTTTAGGAGGTTTGGGGCTGAGACGATGGGGTCTTCTAGATATACAATTGTGTCGTCTGCGAATAGAGACAATCTGACTTCCTCCTTTCCTATTTGAATGCCCTTTATTTCTTTTTCTTGCCTGATTGCTCTGGCTAGAACTTCTAATAC